GATCACCGTTGGACGTGCCAACTATCCCTCTGATCCAGCAGCCCCGCTCACGGATTTGCGCGGAATCATTGTTCGGTCCTGAGGACATCCGTGCACCCGTGCTCACAGCTGCCCCTCACAACAGCCAAGAGGCGGGGCCATGTTCTTTACGGGTGAGGGTGAACGAAGCGGTGGTGTGCACGTACTCGGGGACCTGCCCCGGTGCCGCAGGATGGACCTGGTGTCTGTGTGGGCGGTAGAAGCCAGGCACAGGGGGACCCAGTCCGAGCGGGGCGGGGGGTGGGAGCGGGTCGGGGAGGGTGGGGGCGGCCCTCTTTATGGGGAGCTTCAGACAGCGGTGGGAGTCCTGGAGACTGTCTCTCAACAATGTGAATGCCCCCAACACCTGCAATCGGTTATGATGGAAAACGCTGTGTTTAACTCGGTAAATGAGTAAGACAGACAGACCAGGAAGAAATGTCACAAACAGGTCTGGCAAAGGGCTCGTATCCTGAAGGAAGGAACTCCTACAACTCCACACCGAGGGGGTTCAGGCAGGAAACGAGCAGGAGGGCCCTCCCTGTGCCGTGTCCTCCAGTGCCCTCTGCTGGCAAGGCCTGGCGTTGCGCCCCCGGAAGCCCGAGGAGGCAGGTCCAGCATGATGGGGCAGCAAGGGAAGGAGGCAGCGAAGGCGAGGCTAGGGCTCCAGCTAGCAGGGAGCGCACGCGCTCCAGGCCCTTCGCGTATGAAGGTAAACGCCACCCGCTGGAGGACCCACAAGGCCCACCGCAGGTGTCGCCCGTCTGTCCACGAGGCTTGTTCACAGCAGTTTTATTCATAACGGGCCCGTCAGTAGGAGAATGAATGAAACTCAATACCTGGTGCTGAGCAAAGGCTGCGGCAGGAAGGAGAGCGAGCGGCAGACTCCACGTCCACGAACGCAGACACCCGGCAGGCGAGGCCACAGCGGCGGGCGAGTGGGCAGGACTGCTGTGGTGCTGGTCACCCCGCGGCAGCTGCACGGTGTGGGTTCAGTGGAATCCACCGAACCAGGACTCAGACCTGCGCGCAAATTCCACCTAAAACAACGGGAAGGGAAGCGCCTCCGAGGCAGGGCCACGTGGGCAGGGAGGACAGGGAGATCGCTGTCTTCCAGTTCTATGTTAAACGAGTTACTCTAGAGTCTAGAGGAAACCCAGCCACCAACCACACACACGTACGGGACGATCCTCCAAGTTGTTCATAAAAACGCTCCCACCAAGCTGGAGTCCTGCTTTGGTGAAATTCCTCATCGACGTGTCCCTTCTGCCCACGGCTTGCAAGCTCGCGGGGAAGCTCCCAGTCCTGCAGCGAGCGACCTGGGGCTGAGAGGCGGCAGGTGGCAGTGCTCCCGTCCTGAGGCCCCACTTCCTGAGGAAACAGCGCTCCCTCCCGTCCCCTCCCCTGGAATTGGCAGCTGAAACCAAGTCCGAGAGCCCACTCCAAACGGCGAGTGAAGCAGGAAGATAGTGAGCGCTGACCGGCGGTTTCTAACTCCAGGTCTCCAAAAGCAACCCTTGTTTAAGGCTCCTCCCAAGAATCCCCATCGTGCCCTGGCCATGTGCTCAGTGGTTAGAGCGCTGACCGTGTGGATTGAAGGGTCGGGGCATCTGAGGGGGTCAAGGGCACGTACCTGGGTTGCAGGTTCGATCCCCAGCCCTCAGAGCATGTGCCCTGACCAGGAATCGAACCCTGACCTCCTTCCTAGGTCCACACTCACCACTGAGCCACGCCGGCGGCGGGCAAGGCCTCTTTGAAAGGCAGCTCCTGGCTAAGAACAGCCTGTAACCGTGGCCACGAGAGGGGCAGCTGGCTCTTGCCCAGCAGGGGATCCCGTCAGGGCACAGGCCCGGGTGCCGGCTCAATCCCGTGTGGGCGCTGCAGGAGGCGGCCGATCAATGTTTCTCATCATTGATGTTTCTCTCTCTCTCCCTCTCCCTTACACTCTCTGAAATCAATAAAAACATTTAAAAAAATAAAAAGAGGCCTATATTCCTTTATTGGTTTTACAACTGGATTTTTTAGGATAAAATACATTTCAGTCTCCTGATTTAAAAATGTCAGAAACAGAAACTGCGTCTAATGCTTTTATTGTCTTAACAGATGCAATGGCCAGGTAAGCTCTGATTTCCAAAATGCGAGCTAAGAATTTTAACTTAAATAAAAACCTAAATCACACAAAACTGAAGATCCTTTCACTGACATTAGACATGTTCCCTCATGGACAGGAACTGGGAGCCCCACAGGGTTGGAGAAGCAGCCGTGGCCATGGCGGGCGGGGCAGGGAGTTGGGGGGTTAGGGGGAGACACGCGAGCATGGGGCTGCTGAGCCTTCATCACAGCAGACACAGCTCTCCGTCCAGGCGTCTTTCAGAGCCACCCAGCGCCTCGCAGGTTCTGTTTCCAGGAAAGACAGGCTGGGTTCCTGCCCTGCCCGAGGGGCGGAAAGACCGCTGTCCTGCCCGCCACGGCAGGGAAAAGGGCAGGGACCGAGCTCAGACACAGGCGGTGGAGGTGGCCGCCGGCTGCCCGGGCCGCCTGCCACGCTAGGAGCTGAGCACGATCAGCCGGTGCAGCTGGTACAGGAAGGTGCTCTTGCCGCAGCCGCCCTCCCGCTCCGCCTGCTCCATGACCAGCTTCGGGTCCACCTGCAGCACAAAGGACACGTCAGGCACGGCACTGGGCACAGAGGAAAGCAAGTGAGGGATAAAACACGCACACGCACAGGCGTGAAGCAGCAGGAAGGAGCGAGTCTCCAAGCAGCGTTTACAGCCCACAGCTGTGGTCACCTGCCTTCAAATCCCTCGAGTAGCACGGAGCCCTCCCTCGGGCAACCCCATGCTCCTGTGTGGACGTGACGTGACATGACAGTGACTTCACTATAAACATACAAAGCAGCACATTTTCTAAAACGTTGATCAACCTCAAAATGAAGTTCTGCTCTGAGCTTCACCCCCGGGAAACGGCAGGGGGTGGCTCGGCCCCGCCCAGGTCCCGCAGAGCCTGTCCCAGCAGAGCAGGCTCGGGGCGGCCCTGAGGCTCTGAGACGAAGCTGGTCAAGGGCGCATGGAGCGCAGGCACGCGGCCCTGAGAGGGGCCTCCTCACTGAACGGCCGAGGGCGAGGGCCTGGTCAGCTCCTTCATCACACCACCCGGCTCTAGAGTCACAGCTTAGACCCCTCCCTGGGCCCTTTTCTCGACACTACATTGTACCCCGTGCTCCGCCCTTCCAGGTGCTGAGGCCCTGCCCAGGCCACGATGCTATGGGCTGAGCTGGGCCCCAGGTTCCCTGCGGAAGCCCAGACCCCAATGAGATGAGGCCAGGAGGGGGCCAGGGCTGGACGAGGTGGTGCGGGTGGGACACAGCTCGAGGGTGGCTGTGCAGGGACAGGAGCAGGGTCCGCACTTCACCGGCCCCTTCCCAGCCTCCGGCCTCTGAGACCGTGCGAGTGAATGGCTGCTGGCTCACCCAGGAGGTGGCTGTGACGGGGAGCCAGTGTACGGGGACAGCCAGCGCCCCGACAGCCCCAGGGCAGGACCGGGCCGAGTGTCCCGTCCAGAAACGGGGGTCTGTGCGGCCTCCATAACCAGCCGCCTGCTCTTGGGCCGCCGCCACTCACCTGGTTCCACTCGTACGGCTTGTCGGGCCACTTAGGGACCGTTCTCGCCCTCGGTTTCAGCTGACAGAACAAACTAGAAGTTAAAAAAGGACGAGTCACCCACTGCGCTTTTCCGAAAGAGTCAACCCTACACCTTCCCTCGGAATCGCAACCGCAATGAGTTTCAAAGGTCAAAGCGCAGTCTGTTATGCCTGGGACACTGCGGCCACGGCACGCAGAGCAGGCTCAGGGCGCGGCAGGCCCCGCGCCCACGCCTCTGCCCGAGCCAGGCTGCCTGGCCCCGCGCCCACGCCTCTGCCCGAGCACGGTGACCAGTGGGGACGCCCGACACCACGACTCTGACCGGTGCTGGCCATGGCGGTTCTCCCTACGCACAGACGTGCCCTGCGCACCTCACAGGCTCCCTTACCTGTGACATGTGAAGGTCACACACGTTCATGCAGAAGTGTTTTCCTGAGGAGCAGCGAGGAAAGAGAACCAGAACCAGCCCCTCCCAGCTGCTCCCAGCGCTACACCACCCAGCACAGTGCCCACAGCTACGACGCCCACCCAACTCGGACACACGCCGCCGGCTCGCACAGCTCAGGGCGCTGTCTCGGGCGCGGAGGGACCTGCCACCAGCCCCAGGTCTGGCTGGGTCTGGCCTTGGGGGTCCAGGCAGTGGCGAGAGGGGGGTCAGGGTGCTTGTCCCTGACCTCCTTCCTGGGGAGGCTCACAGAGGCCGAGCTCAGCCTGCAGGCCCTGCCGCTAAGGGACCCTCTGCCCACTGCGCTTTGAAAGGCTCCCTCGGTTCCATTTTCCTCCAATCACCCCACGTGAGGGTGCCCCCTAGCTCCTGCCCGGTCCTACTGACACAGTCACAGGCGGCTGCTCCCCAGGGAGCTGCTGTCCAGCGAGCCGGGACCTTTAGAGGCCGCCTCAGCCCTGGAGCGTCAGTCACCCGCGCGACCAGCCTCTCGCGCCCCAAACTCCTGGGAGGGCCCAGCCCGCTGGAGGCTGGAGGTGAGCGCACCACTCACCCCAGGAGCTTCTGGCGGACGCTGTCCTGCAGCTGCGCGACCCGTTCTGGGCCCAGGTGCCTGGCCCCGTTGGGCCCGTCGCACACCAGCTTGTTGATGGCGGCCCTGAGGATGTTGATCTGCAGAGAAAGGGGCGGAGCACTCAGTGGCCCTGGGGCAGCTGAGCTCCCTCCAGCTCCAGCTCAGCAGCCCCCCCCCCCGCCCCGCCCCGTCTCCAGCAAATTACAGACACAAGTCACTTCCACAGCCATAACTTAAGAAACAGTAACAAAAAGAAGTTAAAATCAGCAAGAAAGGTTCCGCTTAGCATAAGACACTTCCTAAGCCTGTCTCCACCTTGAGCCCCACGTGGCTGTGAGCATACGGCTCAGCCTTCCCGGATCGCAGGCCCGCCTCTTGCTCTGCGTGCGATGTTGGCGCGGGGTCTGTGTGGTGCGGGGTGCGGGAGCCCCTGCGGGAGCCTAGCAGGTCGTGTGCACAAACCCTACAGCGGGTGCAGGGCCTGGCTGCTGCGGTCTCATGAAGAGCTGTCCCTTTGAAGTATGGTACCTATTTGCTTTGTTTAACAATGGACAGGTTATTTTGATTTTCTGAATTATATAAATCATCCCATTCGATTAAATGCCTTATTGATTGTAATGTGAATACCCCACGGGTTGTGGTCATACTGGTCTTACAAAGCACATTTTTCCTTCACCTGGGAAGGACAGCACAGTTATCCCAAGGTCAGAGGGCTCTAGACCCAAAACTGTAATTTAGATAAACTCAGGTTATCCAAGGGCTCCAGACCCAAAACTGTAATTTAGATAACATGCCTAAGTTTAACCCAGGTTACCCAAGGGCTAAACTGCTTTTTGCAAACTAGGTTCCTCATTCCAGACCCGAGGGCTCTAGATAATGTATTTCTGTCAATTCAGTGACCCCGAGACCCGAAACTATAATTAACATGCTTAATTCTGCTTCTGTAAACTGCTTTTTGCGAGCCAGGTTCCTCATTCCAAACCCTGGGATGTAATCAATACCTTGTGAATTTTGCCTATATAAACTTGGAGCTGCGACCATCTTGTTGCTATGAGATTTGGGAATGGCCCCTCATAGTCCCGGATTGCAATAAATGTGACTCTTTAATTCGACTTCTTGAGGCGTCCTTCTGTGATTCGTGGGGTACATTACAACATTTGGAGGCCCCAGCGAGATGCAGCCCCTTAGGGGTGCTGTTTCGGATGCAAAGGGAGGCCGAACTTCCCCTGAGCCATTTGTGGAGACTGAGGGGTCTCTCTGTCGGGTGCGCACCCTGAGAAGTTCCAGGGCCCCAGGGAACGCCCCTTCGGATCCAGCTGGCGGACATGGGACGTTGGCCCGTCCCTAAAAAATTCATCGGAGTCACCTGAAAAACCTCTAGAGGTAAGTTCTGGGACCGGTCACTGGTGGTGGATTGTGAGAAGGGCTGGACACGACCTAACTTCTCTTTCCTTGGTACCCCTGAGACGTCAGAGGGTACTTCTGGCCTTGGTTTTCTTGGTTTTGTTTTGGATTTTTGTGAGCCTTTTTGGTTTTGGATTTAGATTTGTTTGTGAGCTTTTTTTGGTTTTTGTTTTTGTTTGTGAGTTCAATGTATTTGTGAGTCCAATGTGTTCAGTCTGTCGATTTTGTTTCGCTGAATGGATTTCTGATCCAGATTATCAAGGATCTCTAAGGGACTTGTCCTGTATCTGGAGGAATGGCTTCTAGACGGTATTCACCGTCTCTGGGACTTTCCCGAGGGAAGTCAAAACTCGGACTGGCTAAGGGTTCGAATCTGGCCTATCTTTTTAAAAAGGTAGAAGAGAAGCATTCCTAGGCAGTTTTCTACTGCCTCTGTTCAGGGACTTGTTCTGTATCTCAGCACAATTGAAACTGATTTGTTGGTATTTTGTGGTGTAAATGTGGCGTGCACCAGTGTAAAAGTGTTTTTATGTTTGTTTCTGTTTTGTTTTCTTAAAAAAACCTTCTAAACATCTCCTGAGTTTCTGTGGTGATTCAAAGTTTTTAATGGGGAATGTATCTACTTGTCGTGTCTATTTAATCTTGTTTTCTTTGTTCAGTATGAGTACCGTTTCTGTCTGGATGAGACATGGGTTGAGAATCCTGTCCTGGGATGTGGGAAAGGGAGGCCCCCACATCTGTTCCTGTCAGGCCCCCATCAGGGGACTTGGGCAGTTTCCTGTTAACTGCTCAAGATCCTAAGACTGTAACGGTACTTGTTCACTGAAAGGGTGTAAGTGTGGATGTTTATTTGATGTTTGTATATCTACCTAGGTATAATTATTTGTTCATGTAAGTGTGGAAGTCTGCGAAAAAACAAAAAAACAACAATACACGCTTGATTTCTTTAAGGCTGAGTGCTCTGACCGATAGCAAAACACCCCCGAGCAGCCGCTGGGTTCTTTTCCCAAAGGGTGCTTGCTCTCTGTCAGAGGTGGAATCGGCCCGCCTAACTAGTAAAGATTTCTGTCTATGTTTGTGTACTAGGGACTTTGATTTGCTCTGTGATATTTCTGTGTTGGGTTGAAATTTTGGAATTCTAGAGCAGATTTAAAGGTATTTGTGGCTTTTCTTGTCTGATTGGGACATTCAGGGGCGGGCTCACAGCTCCTCAGGGCAGAGAGATTTTATGGGCCCCGCCCCCTGCCTGTGCTGAATTAAGGTGCCTTCTTCTCCAGGCCGACTAAGAGTCATTTTCCTCCACAGGGATTGTCTTCCTCTAACTCACAATGGGAAATAATACAGGCCAGTGTCGTTTGGCTTGCTGGTTAAAGGAAGACAATGGGCCCTGGAATCTGTAAAGGTGGGAGGGAATGAAGCTGGTCAAATGTACTGAAAGGGTTCGGTACCTGTTGCCGCTAGCAGAGGAGGGGCTGATAACCCCTTCCAGTGCACTCTCTTGGGAGAGACCTGATCGCTGCTCTGTCACGGGATGGGTACGATGGCAGGGGCCTGGTACCCAACCCACGGCCACAGGAGCGCTTTGTAACATGCAGGGCGTATTTCCCCTGGCCAGCTAAGGGCTGCTGGCCCCCACCATGCCACCATGCTGGCTGGAGGCAAGTGCTTTTTCCCAGTGGGAACAGAGAGAAAAGGGCTGCCAGATAAAAAATGCCTCTCCCCCGTGGTGGGAGCACCTCCACTGGTCACCTGGGGACCTGCTCCGAGCTCCCTGCTTCCACCTATCCGGCTCCCATCTCCCATGCCATCTGCTCACCGGGGTTGTAATTGCCTCTCATCCCCCGAGGGGTTATTTTGAGTAGGCACTTGAGGAGGGAAATTTCCCTGTGCCTCCTTGTGCCTCCCTGCGCCCCAATGAGACCCAAGGCCTCCTTGGACACTTTTCACCGTGTTCTGTTGGGGGTTTGGGGAGGGGTGGCTTAAAAGGCAGCAGTTAGAAAAGGAAGCTCTAAAAATTAGAAGGATTTGAAGGAATGAATCAGTCACAGCTGGTAGAGGTAGCCCAGAAAGTCTTTAACAATAGAGACACCCTGGAGGAGAAGCAGGACAAGAGAATGACTAAAGCAGTGGTAGCTGCATTAAGTGAAACGGGCACCAAGACAAAAGGAGAAGGGGAATGGAAAACGGAAAGAAAAGGCCGGCAGCAAACTAGGAAGGCATTAGTATGCCTATTGTAGGAAGTGGGGGCGCTGAAAGAGAGAATATCCTGGGAGGTTAACAAAGGAAAGCGGAAGGCTGAAAGGAAAACTCAGACTCTGAAGGATTTACACTCAGGGAAGGGGACGAATAGGGCCAGGACTCCTTTTCCTTGAACCCCTTAGAGCCCAGAATAATAATTTTTATAAATAGGACCCCCAGTTAGTTTCCTGGTGTATTCTGGTGCGGCCTATTCAGTCTTGACAGAGCCAATGGGACCCATAACATCTAAGAAGACATTAGTCCAGGAAGCCAGTGGACAAACTGTCTTTTTCCTTGGACATCAAAGAGGACTGTGGACATTTGAAAGAACACGGTAACACATTCATTTCTGGTCATGCCAGTTTGCCCGTACCCCTTTCTTGGACGTGATCTCTTACAGAAACTACAAGCCACCATATCCTTCGAGGGGGACGGAGCACACTTCACTGTGGATCCAAGGAACCCAGGCCCGGACCCATTCTCCCCTGGCCGCATTCTTCTAACCTGTCCTCTCTCAGATGAATATCTCTTGCAGGAAAGGGCCAATGTGACTCTGCTTACTTGGGGAAATTACGTCTCTTTCCCATGGTTTGGGCAGAAAACAACCCCCCTGGGGTTAGCAAGTCATCAAGCTCCTGTAGTAGTCCAATTGCAAGCCACCGCCACTCCAGCTCAGGTTCAGGAATTCTTGGGGGCAGTTGGATACTGCCGCCTGTGGACACTGGCGTTCGCGGAGATTGCTGAACCTCTGTACTCAAGCGCTGGGGAGGCGCAGCCGTTAAACTGGACCGAAGTGGAGCAACGGGCCTTTGAGGAGTTAAAGAAGGCTCTCATCTCAGCACCTGCCCTAGCCTTACCAGACGTCAGGAAGCCCGTCCACCTCTACCTGAGTGAGGTAAGGGGCATTGCCAAAGGGGTTCTCACCCAGACTCTAGGTCCCTGGAAGAGACCTGTGGCCTATCTGTCTAAGAGACTAGACCCTGTGGCTGCAGGGTGGCCAGCATGCCTCCGGGCAGTGGCCGCCACAGCATTGCTGGTGAAGGAGGCAGACAAGCTGACTTTGGGCCAGGAACTAGCCCTGACAACACCCCATGCTGTGGAAGCCCTCCTTCGAAATGCTCTGAAGAGATGGATGTCAAACACCAGGGTGACCCAGTGCCAAGTTCTTCTCCTGGACCAGCCCTGCACTGGCCATCAACCCTGCCAGCCTGCTCCCAGATGATGATCCAGAGGAGCCATCCACGACTGCATAGAGGTAACAGACGCAGCTCGCCCAGACTTGACAGATGTCCTGCTAACATCACCAGACAAGGTACTGTTATGTACAAGATGGGAGCAGTTATGTTCAAGATGAAATCTGGTATGCAGTAGGAGATGGTAGTCACCCTAGACTGCTCAAGGAAACCGAGTTGCAGACCAAGCTGCC